AACGGGGAGGAAAAGCCCCGGAGATGCCGCACGAGGAGGGGCTGCAAACGCAGCCGGCGGGGATCTGAGGGGGAAAGAGCCAGCCTGGGCCGGGAAGGCGGCCGGAGATGGAGCCAGAGCTCGGAGCTGGTGCTCCATGAGCAGCTCCATGATGGGTAGAAGCCCCACACGTGCATGGAGTGTGGGAAGAGCTTCAGTGTGAGGTCCAGCCTGATCAGGCACCAGAGGATCCACACTGGGGAGAGGCCGTACAAGTGCTCCGAGTGTGGGATGTGCTTCAGCCAGAGCTCCAGTCTGATCACGCACCAGAGGACCCACACTGGGGAGAGGCCCTATGAGTGTTCCAAGTGTGGGAAGGGGTTTAGGACCAGCTCCCATCTCCTCCGGCACTATCAGAGTCACAGAGAGGAGAGGCCCTTCCAATGCCCTGACTGTGGGAAAGGATTCCTGTGCAACTCCCACCTCATCACCCACCGGCGCATCCACACTGGGGAGAGGCGCTATGAGTGTGATAAATGCAGGAAGAGGTTTCATAACAGCTCCTATCTCCTCCAGCACTATAGGATTCACACAGAGGAGAGGCCCTTCCGCTGCCCCGACTGTGGGAAGGGATTCAAGCGCAACTCCACCCTCATCAGGCACCAGCGCATCCACACAGGGGAGAGGCCCTACGAGTGTCCCCAGTGTGGGAAGAGCTTCTCCAGGAGCTCTAACTTGACCCGACACCAACGGAGGCACTGCTAAGGGGAGCCCTGCGAGTGCCCCGAGTGCAGGCAGAGCTTCGTGCGCTGCTCCAGCTCCATCCCCCACTGGAGGAGACACTTTGGGCGCAGCCCTGGTCACTGACATTCCCTGTGATCCATGTTGGGAACACACCTGGCTGCATAGACTTTTGGTTTGGCCTTTATTTTCCTCTGCTTCACCTTCATCCTTTAAAAATACCCAAAACTGGTTTAAATGAAGGAAATTGATCGAATATATCTGCAGTTCCATAATTGCTGAGTTGTTTTAGAGGGAATTTAGTTTTTGGGGACACGTTCTGTGTGGAGTGCTGCTGTTGCTAAGAGGCAGGAATTTGATCTCACCCTTCTTGTGTTGCTAAGAACTCCTCCCCTGACCCAAACCCCAACTCCACGCTTGGGATACCCTATTGGAATATGAATCCCAATATTACCAGTTAGATTGTGCCTGGGCCAGTCTGACCCTCGCTTCTGAGCCAAAGGCGGCAGCTGTGGTGTATCACCCCAGAGACGCCTTTAGCTTGCTGATGGTTTCAGCTGGGCACTTAACAAGTCCAGGCTTGTTAGGGACTCCATTTACCTTAGGAAGAGGCTTC